AGAGGAACAAAAAAAAAACAAAAATATAAATTACAAATTTAAATTTTAAAAAAAAAAAAAAAAAAAAAAAAAAAAAAAAAAAAAAAAAAAAAAAAAAAAAAAAGGAAAAAAAAAAACGGTAGATAAATACAAAGTTTGAAAATGATAATTGAATTAAATAAAAACAGGGCAAACCAGATGGTTAACACCGTCTGAAGAGTTTATTCCAATTTGAAAGTGATTCCCTTGACTTTTTGAAGAATTTGGCCAAGACAACATCATTTATTATCTGGTTTTTTTCTGGGGAAAAAAAATAATCACTATATATACTGTATATATGTGTATATGTTTTCTACAATAGTTTATATTAATTTATATATATGTCGTACAAGAATCTCTACTGGTTACAGTGTGACTTGTATCACGATCTACATTATCTCCTGTACCGGCTTTAACAGCTTTAAAAATTAATTGGTTTAAAATGCATTTTTTTTCGTAGGACAGTTAAATGTGTACATTACAGCTAGTACAGTTAAAAAAAAATAATGTATTGTTTTTTTAAGCGGATTTTATTTCAGTATTTGTCGCGATTGACTAATTAGTTCGTAAAATCTCGTGTAACGCGAAAGTCGAAGATCACATGATCTATTTTTATTGATTGTATTCGGGTAAATCAGTCGATAAAAAAGAACTTAGAAGCCACGTTTCAACTTTTAATTGGAAATCCATTTAACGAAGGTAAACGAAGGTAATTAGAGAATTTTGACATAATGTCATGTGAAATCACACCCGATATGAATTAAATATTATAATTGATTTGAATTTGATTTGAAATCGCAGGGGTGCAAACTGTAATAAAACTATTTACGATTTTATAATCATTGTTTTAATCAATGATAAAACGAGTTTCCAAAAACGTTTGTTTTAAACCGGGGAAATGACGAGTTTTTACTGATTACAGCTGTTTTCATAAATTCTGAGACAGCTGAAATTTTTCAATGACTGAATCGATAAGCTACTGAGTCGAATCAGTTTTCGATATCAGAACTTATCGGTTCGGTCATTGCCAATTTTTCAGTCGACATACATAAAAATAAATAGTCCTTAACAGCTAAAACATGCGATTAACAATTTTTAATTAATTTAAATAAATGACGTGCATCAGATTAAAATTTGCGTCAGATCAGAATTTAAATGCGGAGTTTTAGTAGCTGTAGGGTTATGATATATCGATATCGGTATTAAGTATTAGCGGAATTATAATGATTTTAATCTGATGCAAATTTTTAATTTGACACACAATATATAATATACATAGTAATTTATAGTTAATGTTCCTTGTATCAAAGTTATAGAAGAAATAAGTCGAATTGCTGAAACCCGAGTTGCAAACTAGTAAAACTGGTATGATTACTGGATTATCACGTGAGATCGAATTATAACTAGCATCGCGGCGTTTTCAAATGACCGGGCCATTTGCATTTTGGAATGAATTTTTTGAGTCATTTGAACTTAGAACTTAAATGTAAATTAACGTTAAATTTATGGTTAGGGGAGCGCCGTTTATTACGTACAGTAATTTAAGAGGGAGGATTAGTAGTCTATTACATCTATATGATGTATATAAATCTTTGTCAATTTGATCACTTAGACCTTCTGATAAAAAGAAATTACGTAATACAGTAATAAACGGCACTCCCTTGGTAATTATTATACGAATTTCTCTAAAAAATTTTTATTATATATACTTTAAATTTGATATTAAATATAACAAAATTCATTACTTTTTTATTACAAAGGTTTAAGAAAATATATATTAAATATAAGGTCTAACTAATAATACACGAATTATTTTGTAAATCCAAGTTCTGAAATTGGCGAAATTACTTTTGACTGCCTAAAACGTAAATAATTTAGTTGTCTAAAATGGTTATCTTTTGATGGATATCAGGTTGATATTTTCTTAAATCCAGTTTATATCCAGTTATATGAATTCATTTACTTCGCCAATAAAATTGCTCTTTAATTTCTACCTTATCTTTAATTTCTAGTATCTATATCAAATTTTATTCATCGAATTAAAAAAAAAAACGCGTTTAAATAAAAATAAAATAAAATGAGAATCCGTTACGTAGCCGAAATTAATTTCGGCAGGCAATATTAAATTTAGAATATCGCCAGATGAAAATAATTTCGCCATTCATATATAAATATACATAAAGTTGAGGGATAACTCTATATTTTTATTAAAATAAAAAAGAAAAAAATATATTATGTTAAGGATTTAAGCTGGATATTGAATTCAAATTTTGTCTTACATTTAAAAAGTTGAACTTGAGCATAATTACGTTTTTAAAATAGTTCAATTTATATGTAACTAATTCAATATTTACAATGACTAAAATAAATTCTTTGAATACTCCGAAACAAATAAAAAAAGTAATCTTTTTATTTCTTGAAAAATCGTGATTTTGCAAGTTCCAAAATAGCATTCAAATTTAAGTAATAATTACGTACCAGTAACAGGTATACCTGATTTTGGTAACGATACTAGGTGGGTTTATAACGGTAATGAGAATTCTATATTCGTACGTACGTACGTATCTTAAGTAAATTCTTTTATCACTCGTTATTTATAACCGCGTCAATAAATTTAGGTCGACTAGAGATCTGATCCTTTCAAAAAAAATATCCGGATATTCATTTGTTTCGGTCGAAAAATAGAATGAACTTCCGGATAAATTATCTTGAATTAGAAATCCGATCAATGATGTATCCGGATATTCAGGGAATATCCGGAATACACATTCGGTGATATTCTTATAATTTCGTATGTTATAATAGAATTAATAGAATTTTAAGTAAACTTGAATGAAACATCACCGAATATTCATTGGACCATATATACAGTATCCGAATATTCAACTCGATGAAACGAATATTCGGATATTCCGGTATTCCCTGAATATCCGGATATATTATTCATTGGATCTGACCTTTACAATTATTATCTGTTTCGAAATCGCTGTTTTTATAGCGAAAATCTTGTTCGCGTGATTGGTGATTGGTGATTAGAATTTCTGAACCATATCGGCTTTGCACAACTGGGTGACTATCACTGAAGGTGACAATTAAATTATTTTTTAAGCCGTGTACTGTACAATATATAGCCAATTGTTCTTTTTTAAACCTGGCTTGGGTTCAAATAAACCTGGCTTGGGTTCAAATAAACCCGGCTTGAGTTCAAATAAACTCGGCTTGGGTTCAAATAAACCCAGCTTGAGTTCAAATAAACCCGGCTTGAGTTCAAATAAACCCGGCTTGGGTTCAAATAAACTCGGGTTCAAATAAACCCGGCTTTTTTTAATTATGGTTCCGTGATTACTCTGGTAACACCAACAATGTTGCTTTTAAATCAGGATGAGATTAGCTAGGAGGGCATTACGTAATTTTCACATTATGGTCTGATTGAATAATCAATTGAGATCAGCGAAGATGTATATATGGATCGGATTGTATTGATATCTTTAAAGATTCAAATCCTGATCGGAAGATCTAGGTTAGACCCGTGTTTACAGCTATTTTCATTACCGTACGTCAGGGCTATAGATGCATCATTTAATTTTCAGCGTTGGATGAGTATTCTACGATTTGAACAAATAGTATCGCATCATACGTGCAGACTTATGACATCACCTAGTTACGTCCTATATAAAAAATCGGTTTATAAAATAATCCACAATTGAGCCGTAACTAGTAACGTCAATAAGTCTGCATCTATAGTCAGGGCACAAAATTTCCGGGTGATGTAACCTGCTTTTTTTTGCTTTTTTGCCGGCAATATTCTTTTTAATCGGAGGTTAAGCCGAAATCGACAAGTTTCTGTATGCTGCCGCAGTAAATTTGTCGATTTCTCGAATAATCCGATTTCGGATAGCATATACATAATACAGTAATAGATCGGAACTTTAAATCTGGACTCGACAGTCATACAAATCAAATTTGGGTTACGAAACCCAGAGGTTTCAATATTAATGTGTCAAAACTAGACAATTAAAAATTCTAATATAAGGAATTCTAGAAACTGTTAAAAATGTCGGAACTATAATAATTGTCGAAAACGGTTTTGACATGGAAAAAAAAATAGGTCATCTAACAACTATTAATTCGAATCCGATCCAAATAGGATTCGGATCTGTTAAACATCTCTATGATTAATATGGTTTGATGATTCGAAAATAACAATGATTTAACCTAAACTATTTAGAATATTTTGTACTTGTTTCTACTATATTCAAGGAACATTATAAAAATACTCTATATATATATATATGTAATATATATAAAATGGCTTAATTTAAATTTACTAGGTATTAGAAAACCAAATATACATCACGCTTCAAACAAATTTAATTTAATAATAAATCAATTTTAATCCAACCTAATGAATTTTATAAAAGATAATTTAAAATTAGCAAAAATATATATACTTCCCGGTAGTAACCGCGAAACACAATTAATACATACTATGTTCTTAACTTCATTCATAAAGTTTATATAGGGACGTCGGGTCTGAAATTTCAGACTTATCAGGTATATATAATGTATTTGCATCAACTTTGTGTGGTGCCATGCTCAATATGGTGCTAACAAACTTATCGACCTTATCCACATCTTGACGGCTCATCTCTATTATAGTCAAAAGCTTTTTGATACCAATTCTCATTTCTACTCCACCTTGTTTCAAAGCATTAAGGGCTCGATTTCTCTCTTCGTCGTTAAACAACGCTAACTCTTTCAGAACAACATCAACCGAACTCAATTCAGTAATATTGGGAACATAAATCTCGGAATTAAAACAATCAGACATATTCATATCGTCCAAAACAGATTTTTCATTTGTGGTAGCTAGAATTAAAAGACGACGGTCCTGCATTAAGAGAAATTATCAAAGATATTGAGTTCTCAGATGCAATACTATAGTACACCACTAGTTAAACGTGTACAATTACAAAAAAAAAAAAAAAAAGAAAAAAAATTTATGTTAGACATATTACTTTAGGTGGTCGTTTCTTGAGCAAAACTAATAATGTCTGCAAGATAGAATTCGAAAATCGAGGGCCAATTGGAACCCAATCTATAAAAAAATAAAGGTGTGAATAAATATTTAACGAGATGTAAACATTGTTATAATGCTTTAATAGAGTGATCCTATTTTACGTCGTAACTAAATATCTACGAAAATCATTGGGATCAATCTAATATTGATAGATTAAACTACTTGACAAAAACATACCAAGGATTCTCTCAATGTTATCAATGACAATTACACTTAAAGGTGACTTATAAGAGTCATTGAAAACCTTTTAAATAAATGTTTAAATGCTTTAATAATAAATTAAACAAAAAATCGAATAATACCAGAAATATTAAACTAGTCAATACAAACCTTGCTAATAATGGCTATTTTTGCTAATTCTGCATATCCTACCATAGATTCGGGAGAAATTAATTTGATGAACGGGAATTCTGATGCCATTGTCATAGTTGCTGCCAGTGCCGTTTTACCACTACCCGGAGGACCTTTTAAAACAGATTACAAATGTGTCGATTAACTAGATGCTAATGTCTTAAACCCGTACAAATATAAACAAAGAATGATTAAATACCATGCAAGAGAACACTAACAAGAGGTGTTCGTGAACTTTTTCGAACTTGCTCTATAAATAATTGTCCATCTGATAAAATTCTCTATATATAAATATAAAAAGAATAAATATACATAGGCATAATAGATGTAGGAATATATAAACATTATACTCTCTTACTTCTACATTAGAAGCAAATGGAATAATCTGATTTTGGACACATTGTTGAAGTTCTTCTTCATTCACACCAAAGGCAGGATGAACTTCATCTAATGCACATAAAAAGTCCTCCTTATTGATCTTCATGTCGTTCATATCAGTAGCTACACCAGCAAGTGTTCCCACCTTAACATGCCTATTAAACGCAAATGAACTAGCACTCTTTACAAGACCAGTTATCTCTGCACCACTAAAGTTTTTAGTTAAGCTGGCAAGTTCATCCAAATCAACATCCGAATCCATTATATCATTTTGTTTCATCTTTCTTATTGATAATATGAATGTATGATTAATAATACAAATCATTCATGAATTATTAATATTGTATGTGCACCCACCTTTGCCGTATGAATTTTCAAGATTTGGAGTCTACCACGTTCATCCGGCAATCCAATTTCCATATGAACTTCTAACCGACCTGTTTGAAGCGTAAAATTTAGAATACATCACTTATCACAAGAAAAAGAAAGATAATAATCAATTAACTTTAAAACTTACCAGGACGTAACAACGCTTCATCAATAAGGTCATATC